ACTCATCAGCGAAATCTGCATCACGAAGTAATTCTACGTTTGTTCGCTAGCGATTCAAACCAGCCTTCATCTGTTACTTCAGTTGCATAGTTGAAATCATCACAAAACTGGAGAATCCATGGGGATGCGTATTCCGTGGGACGTCCATTAATAATGGGGGGGCGAGCGCGATCAACTTCCATTTCCTCAAACAGAGCAGCCAAGACCTGGGAATTAGCAATGGGGTCCTTGGCCCAGCTCTGATAGAGCTGAAGGCGTCGAAATATTTCGATCCGGCACGAAGCAAACCGCCACCACCTCAGGACCTGGTGGTTAGTCAGGCCAACGGGGTGCTCCCCGTCCCAGTTCACGGCTTTTCCTCGCATGGCGACTCGGCAACACCACGCGAGCTGTCTGTCGAGCTCTTCACAATCTTTTGCTGCGACAAAAAAGCTCTCGAGCCCGCTTAGGAGCGCGTTCAAGATAAAACAGAGAAGGAGGCACCTCTTAAACTGGAACGGGAGCGACATCGTCCAGATCGCGCCGGGGGAGTGAAAAGACGTGCGAGCTGCCTGGACCCGCCTCGCAATCTCGTGCGTCGGCGTACTCCGCTGGACCAAATGCGGCCCTAGGTGACTGACTGAACCGAGAATTCTACCGTTATGTCCGTGCTGCTGGGGTTCTCTTAGAAGTTGTTTAAATGTCGTGCTGCCCACCCCCTGGAAATGAAACAAACACTCCTGCTTGCTAGCATTATGTAAGTAACCGCACTGCTCGAGTTGCTCGTCTAAAGTAGCGTCCGACTTACGGATCTTATCCATTGGCCCTGTGAATGTTAAACCAGGGGAGGCAAGTATGAACTTCAAAAGATCATCTGCATATTTGCTCAGCGATAAATCTGCTTTACATGGTCCCCAGACAGAAATGAGAGCTTTGCCTGTTGGGTCATTCTGCCAGTGCCAATAGCCCCACCTTCAAATTTGTGGTTTTAAACTTTCAACAAAGTTCGCCACAATGAATGGGCCCCCCATCGCGCCTCCCTCACTGGGCTTCATTACCAGTGAGCGGTCCGAGGATTCTAGAAACGTGACTCCTTGTCTATAGCGCTGGCGGCAGAGCACGCGGCCCTCTTCCTTCGAGCCCAATTCCACTGCCGCATCCATGCATTGCCAGTCCGTGCTGGCGAAAGCATTCGCGAGATCTTTGAAGCAGATCGCGCGTGTGCGGTGGCGCGCTCGCAGCCGCCAGCTGGTCTGTAAAGCTGAAAGGATAGCATTCTCTCGGCGTCGGCCTCGTCAGAAGCCGCGATCATTTACAGTCGGGGCGGACCGAAACTTAAAAGCGAAAAAACCTTTGCCCAGCGCGGGCAGCACGTGGGCGATCCTTCGGCCCTTTGGGCCCACACTCGAGTTGTTATAAATCGCGGCACCATCACTAGCATGCCAATACAGTGGGGTTATATCAAATTGTCTAATCTCCCAGAGCCCTAGCTCTAGCAGAAACCAACAGATATCGCATCTAGGCATTTTTTCGGGGGAGCCGGCTCCCCTTCTCATCTTTGGGGAAAAGACGCACGTGCCGCAGTTCTAGAGGAGCTGTGCCCGATGGGGCCTGTTTCCTCCGGGGGGCTCGCCTGATCTATCTCTTAATTTGTTTTAAATCGCTCTCAGCTAATTCCTGAACATCAGCGCTGCGCTCAAAGAGGTAATCTTGGATTTTCCTTTCCGACATCCAGTCTTCATAATCAAATTCAGAAGCTCAAAGCCCGCCCTCCCGCCCGCCCGAACTAGGCGCCTCCACCCACTCCTGAGCTGACGGCAGGGCTGTGCACGCAAGCCGACCATTGCGACGCTTCGGTCCGCACCGACAACGCGCTGCGGCTCGGGCGGCCCCCATGGCCTCAGCTGGGCGTCCTCGCACCCACGCTTCCCAGGCTTCGGCCATGAGTCCTGCCTTGCGTTCTCTGGCATGCTTTCGGCGCTCCTAAAAAAGAGCGCGACTCAACTCCTCTTCCTCCGAACAAGCGAGTCTGGAGCCCCTGAGAGCAACCCTTTTTTAAAGCAGCTCTCTGCGACGGATGGCACACTGCCGATATTCATCACTTGCGACCACTGGTTTAAAACAGGCTTGCCCAACTTTGACCAGGCTCCGCTCCAAATTCTCAAAAATCTGATCTGGCGCAGCGTGCTCATTTAGCCACAAGGGGTGTGCCTGCTGCAGCTCATCCTTGACAGCTAAGAGAAATTATTCCCGCCCCCTCCCCGTGCGCACCGCCTCCATTATCTGGTCACGCTGCCAACGGTCCCTATCTTCCTGCGCCTGCTGAGGTTCGATCGAGTGCTTTTTAGATTTCAGGCAGCAGTGGAGTGGCAGGTGATCTTTTGGGGGGATCTCCCGAAATGCTTGCAGTTTAGGTCATAGTTTCGTTTAAACTCCTGTCGGTGCGATGGCACGTCGCATATGCTTCGGCATAAAAAAGATAGTCTATACGACTCGAACTCGTGGGCCCAAAATATGTGTGCACGATATGTTCAGTTAAAGTGTTACAAGCGAGCATATGATGTTGAGCCAGAAGCTTACGCATTGTCGTGCCCGGCCCACCCCGAAGACGCTCCACCGTCCGAGCCCCCACCACCCCATCCTCGGCATCTTGCCATTGCTTCTGCTCATTCAAAAAGCGGCCGATTCCATCATTTAAATCAGCATATATGACGGGGGTGGTGCGAGTTGGCAGGGACGATAAAAGCGACTGTAGCCAACTGGTCATCTGTTTTACAACTCCTAGATATTGACCCTTCTGATTCGCCTTATCTGGCTGCGGAGGAAAATACATTGAGATAGGGGTGACATCTAAATTCCCCCTCTTCACGCGGATGCCTAGGCAGCGCCCCGAGGCCCCTGAGGGGGGAGGCCACATCTGCTTTACACAAGAACGATCAAGGCCTGCTCCTAATATGATGCTCACTCCACAGCTACGATTGCTATGTGGCGACTCGCGTGCCCCCCCGGGGGGCCTCAATCACTGTCTTCCCACTTACTCTGCGAGTCAAAAGGGTGTACTCTGACGCTGAGAAAGCCTTCTGCTGTGTTCCTGCCAGCAATACGAAATCAAAGTTTGCACATTCCTCGGTGATCTCGGAGAGTCTGTCCCCGCCACCCGACTGCGGGTTGTACCCCAAGATGCGCAGACGGTCGGGCTGGCTGATGTTCGGCATGTAGTCCTGTCCTGCCAGCGGACATCCTCACTCCATCGCGGCGCACATCGGAGTGTGGCCCCTCTCGGAGGGACTGCACGGGAAGAAAAGAAGAGCCCCGTCCTCTCAATCACTTGATCCTCGGGGCTTTCTTCCTCCTCCTCCTCCTCCGCCTCCATCTCCTCCTCCTCCTCCTTTTCCTCCTCCTCCTCCTCCTGCTCCTCCTCCTCCTCCTCCTCATCCTCCTCCTGCTCCTCCTACCCCTCCGCCTCCATCTCCTCCTCCTTTTCCTCCTCCTCCTCCTCCCCTCCTCCTCCTCCTCCTACTTCTCCTCCCTCTCCGCCCCCTCCTCCTCTCCTCCTGCTCCTGCTCCTCCTCCCACTCCTCTCCTGCTCCTCCCTCTCCTCCTCCTCCTCCTCCTCCTCCTGCTCCTCCTCCCGCTCCTCCTCTCCTCCTCCTCCTCCTCTGCTCCTCCTCCTGCTTCTCCTCCTCCTCCTCCTCCTCCCTCCCTCCTCCTCCTCTCCTCCTCCTCCTCTCCTCCTCCTCTCCTCCTCTCCTCCTCCTCTCCCTCCTCCTCCTCCTCCTCCTCCTCCTCCTCCTCCTCCTCCTCCTCCTCCTCCTCCTCCTCCTCCTCCTCCTCCTCCTCCCCCTGCTCCCCGCGCCCCGAAGGGAGTCCTCAGGGATGGCCTGGAGGCTCGTGGGCTGGAGGTTCTGGACCACGCCCCGGAAGAGGGAGCGCCGACGGGGGCGGAGAAGCGGCGCTGGTGCAGCGCCTCCGGCGCAGCGCGCGGCGGCGCCTGCGCATCGCGCCGAGCCTTGCGCGGTCATCGTCACCATCATCATCATCATCATCATCATCATCATCATCATCATCATCATCATCATCATCATCATCATCATCATCATCATCATCACCACCACCATCATCATCATCATCATCATCATCATCACCATCATCATCAACAGCAGCATCAGCATCAGAACCAGCATCAGCATGAGCATCAGCATCATCATCATCAGTATCATCAGCATCGACATCATCAGCCTCAGCATCATCAGCACCAACATCATCATCATCATCATCATCAGCATCACCACCATCATCATCATCAACAGCATCAGCATAACCATCATAACCACCACCACCATCATCATCATCCCCATCACCAACAACAACATCATCATCATCGTCATCAGCATCATCATCAATATCATCATGATCACCATCCGCATCATCATCACCACCACCAGCATCATCATCATCATCCCCATCACCACCACTATTACCACCATCATAATCATCACCGTCATCAGCATCAGCATCACCACCATCATCATCAGCAACATCATGAGCAACATTATCGTCAACGTCATCGTCATCATCAACATCCGGATCATAATCAGTATAATCGGCATCATCATACTAATAATCATCAGCATCATCTTCATTACCATCGTCATCGTCATCAGCATCAGCATCACCATCATCATCGCCATCATCACCATCATCATCGCCATCATCATCACCATCATCTTTACCATCAGCACCACCACTATCATCGCCATCGCAATGAGTATCAGCAGCAGCAGCAGCCTCATCAACATCAGCATCAGCATCATTATCAACATCATCAACAACAGCATCACCATCATTATCGTCATCATCACCATCTCCATCAGTGCCGTCACCATCGTCAGCATCATAATCATAATCATCACTATCAGCACCAACACCATAATCATCCTCATCATCGTCGTAATTCTTCTCGTCTGGCGTCCGTCGTGATGTTCATCCGATCATCCTCATCACCTCAACATCATGAACATCATTATCCATTTCACCATTCACATCATCGTGGTGATCTACGTCCCGTATCGTCCGAGCTCCATCCCGCGTTCTCCCTCCGCCAACCCTCCGCAGTGTCCCTCCGTTCCCACGCAACCGTCCACAGCCTGAGCTGGGCCCCCCGCCATGCCGTGTTGGCATGCCTGGCGTGGGTAACACACATGTCGCGCCACGCCCGACAGCACACCTCGCCTAACCAACCTCGGCACCGGCCGCCGTTGCGCAGGCGACCTGTTGCCTCCACCGGAAAAAACGTCCACGGCGGCACCAGCAGCGACCCCCATGGGGGTCGCTGCTGGTGCCGCCGTGGACGTTTTTCGGTCTGGGCAGTGCACTGCCCAAACATCTGGTACCCTGACGTTTTCCGTGCGGGGCCCCCCGAGAGTCCCGAGCCTTCTCCCACGGGCCGGCCGTCGATGCAGAGCAAACGTTTCACAGTCCTGGGGCCGGGTGGGTGAGGAGGGCCCCCCCAGAGGCCGAACACGGCCAAAAGCCTGCCGTCCTGATTTTTCCGCGGCGCGAGCATGTCTGGGTACTCCAGATTTCGTAATAAAGGGAGGGGGGTCTCATTTCGGTGGGGGTCTCTTCCAGGCTATCTTGGAGGGCCTGGGGGGTCTGGGGACGATGTCTTGGAGGGTTCTCCCACGGGGGAGGTCTGAAATGGCTTGTCGTGGAGGGTCCAGACCCCCTTCCTTTTATTACGAAATCTGGAGTAGGCCTCGCCCCCCCCCCCCCACCCCCCGGATACATCGCCGACGCATCGGCGACGTCGGCGATGCATCTGCCACGTCGGCGTGGAGGTCATTGGGCTCCCCACGTCGAGCCGCATCGCCGATGCCTCGGCGAGGCGGCGCGATCCTCCCCGAGCGCCTCTTTTCTGCCTCGACCCCGTCCGGGAGGCCCAGGAGCTCTCTCCGACCGTCTGGAGGCGGCCGCTGGGGCCGAGCTGGTCGGGAGGAGCGACCATGGGGGGACACACGCACACGCAAGACGCCGCGCCCAGACGGCGCGTCGGCACAGAAATCCTGCGAACGTGCACGTGCGGGAAAGCATGGAAGACGCGAATACGCCATGCAGGTGGAACTGGGGTGAGACCACCAGCAATCTTTGTACTTGGTGACCCGCTGTTCGTTTACCTGGAAGCGAAATTTGCGGAGAATGAGGAAGAGGAGGAGGAGGAGGGGAAGACTGAGGAGGAGGAAGAGAAGGAGGAGAGGAGGGGGAGGAGGAAGGAGGGATGACGCCAAATCCGCTCAGAGTCGGTCCCCAAACCCCTCCCGGAATCTATCTGGTGAAATTTTTCACCCTGGATCCGCTTTTCCTGGTCCCGGGACCCGAAAACGGCCCCAGGAGGCCGAAAGGACAGAAAACCGTCCCGAACCCAGATCATCGAACCTGCCCGCCCTTCCTGCTGGCTGGAATCAATGTTGGGCTACGTGCAGTGGAGGCCCGATCACAAGAAACCTTCCACAAGAAACCCAACCCTGAGACCCGAGGACGTCCATTGATGATTGGTGTGGGACCGTCGCGCCCTCCATAGCGGAACCTTCGAAACCCACGCAACCCAGGGCACACTGGAGGCAAACAGGGTACCTCAGGTCCCCCCGAGTCCTCGCCCCCTCCTGAGGATCGAGGTGGGAAGGCGAAGAATCTGGACGATGGCCATCAGGGGCGCCGACATGGATGCCCCTGATGGCCATCGTCCACATTGTCGCCTCCAGCTCCCCCGAGTCCTCGCCCCTCCTGAAACCCCCGGCGCCCCTGCCCTCGGGCTTCGGGGCTGGGCCCGCGGGGGCCTCGGCCATGGTGAATGCCGCCTCCCGACGGCGGCTTTGCGAGGGTCAGGCCCGCGGCCAACATCGCCGGCGGGTGGCGGCGGCCGCCGGCAACGGCCGCAGAGACGGCAGCTGCGGCCATCTGTGCCCAAAGGCGGCGGCGGGGGCGGAGGAAAGCCTTATTCCCTCCTCCTCCTCCTCCTCCTCCTCCTCCTCCCTCCCCCCCTCCTCCCCCTCCTCCCCCTCCTCCCCCTCCGCCTCCTCTTCCTCCTCCTCCTCCTCCTCCTCCTCCTCCTCCTCCCGCCTCCTCCGCCTCCTCCGCCTCCTCCGCCTCCTCCGCCTCCGCCCTCCTCCTCCTCCTCCTCCCTCCTCCTGCTCCTCCTCCTCCTCCTCCTCTCCTTCCTCCTCTGCTCCTCCTCCTCCTCCCTCTCCTCTCCTCCTCTCCTCCTCTCCTCCGCCTCCCCCTCCTCCCCTCCTCCTCCTCCTCCTCCTCCTCCTCCTCCTCCTCCTCCTCCTCCTCCTCCGCCTGCTGCTCCTCCTCCTCCTCCGCCTGCTCCTCCTGCTCGGGCTCCTTCTCTTCCCTTCAAGAAATCTGACGATATGACGTTTTGAAGTATCCAGCGCCTTGAAGAACCAACCATACAACAATTGTTCGCCGTGTGCGGCTTCTAGAGGCCCTCGTCGGGCAACGGGAGCCTTCCTGGGACGACCGCGGGGGCTGCTAATGGGATAGGGAAGTTCTTCGGGGATGCTCAGGTGGCTATTATCCGGTGTGCTATTGTTTTTAAGTGATTTTGAAATGCCCTAAACGGGGCTTAAGATCTGGATAGTGGGCTGCGCCCACCTAGCGGGATGATCGAAACTACCCAGGGCACTAGGGTCCCAATAACCCACTGATGAGTTTTCTACCCCATGTATTCTCCACCGTGCCTTTGAGCACTGAATGGGCGCATCCTCATGTCCTTTCCATAATCCCCTAAGCCTCATACCTCAATCCTGATCAGTCTTTAAATGGCCTGGGCCCGAAAGTATCAATTTAGTGGGATTGTCGCGCCTTGTCGCTTGATTTGTCCAGAACAAAGAGGGTCCCAACAGCCCAAGAGGGGCACCAACAGACCCCAAAACGGTCCTAGAGGGACCCGAGTCGCCGAACGGTCGCTCCGAGACGGCCTCCAAGACGCCTCAAGAGGCCTCAGAGAGGCCTCCCCAGAGAGCCCCAAGAGGCCAACACCGTTGATTGTCCAGCAAGGTGTTTGGAGGATTTTGGTGTTCTCGCATTTTCGGCTTCCATCGCTCCAGGACGGCCCACAAGACGGCCCAAGAGAGCCCCAAGACGGCCCAAGAGGCACCCAGGACGGCCACAAGAGGGAGCCCAGATGGGGCACCCGAACGGACAGTTCCAGCCCTCGGCCCTGAAGGGCCCCCAGGAGGCCCCAAGAGGCCCCCAAGCGGCCCCAAGAGGCCCCCAAGAGACCCCCAAGAGGCTCCCAGGAGGCCCGCAAGAGGCTCCCAGGAGGCGCCCGACAGCGCTCCGAAAAGACCCGAAGGAGCATTCCTGAGAACTCTAACCCACAACCCAGGCACGATAGCGGGATGGGCTAAAGGCCACTAGACAACCCAAATGAACATTCACACGTAAACCTCCAATCCCGTTAACAGCCCTAGCGGTCGTCACGGTAAACAGAGACCCTGCGTATTGAAAAATCAAAACGGAGGTGTCTCGTCGTCTTCGGTCGCTTGAGGTCCTCGCGGGCCCCCAGAACAATGAGCTCAAAACTAAGGATGAAACGCTGGTCCCTGGGAATGTGTCAAGACTTCCCGGTACCACACATGGAAAAAATAAGACATTGGAAGGAGCCTCCTGGAGGTCTTCATGATATTCATGAGAAGGGCTCCCGGGAGCCTCCATGATAAGGAACCGAACTCTATACACCGACGCTTTTTCCTGCCCTGCACTGACATCTGCAACCAAGGCAACTGATCCTGGTGTATACGAAACCCTGGTGTATACATGTTCGCTGTTTCCCTGGGAAAGCGGGAAACAAGTATACACCACACCACCTCGACGTCGTCCACAACCATCAAAAAATCGTAGGATTGAAAAACAGCCCGCCACTGGTAATGTATATGTTCCCGTTTCCGACATGAGGCTCCCAAGAAAGACCCAAGAAAGCCCCGAGACCCCCCCCCGAGGAGCCCCAAGAGGACTCCAAGACTCCCCCCAACAGCCCGTAGGGGGCTTAACGAGAGGGACTGCTCAGCCTGCTCGCGAGACTTCGCTTCACGGCTGCCTTCTGTCTGCGTACCGCTGCTGCATGCGAAGGCGGGAATGCTCGAAGCGTTACGAGCTCCACCTCCGAGGAGTTCCGTCCTAAGGGAAGACCTCCAAATTGGAGAGTGAAAGAGGGTCCGCGGCGAGCCTGGGGAGTGAGAAGGGGCGGACCTTCTCAGAAGGCTCGGAAGTCCCCCAGCCTGCTGAGAAGTATTCTACGCCTTCCCCGAAGACGCAGAACCCCCTTCAGAAGGCCAGAGCGGAGCGCTTCTAAGAAGCTCCGCCGGCTTCTGAGTAAACCTTCTCCTTCTCACTTCCGCCCCTCGCTCGCCGCCGAATAACAGCCTGGGATGAGGTTCTCCCTGATGCAGAACAGCCTGGAGTGAGGTGTCTCCCCGATCCTCTCCAGGACGCCAGTTTCGCTTACCTGCGCAGACGGTCAAGCTGCGGCCTCATGTGAGCCTGCTGCAAGGCTCGCGTGCAAGGGGTGGCGTCACCGCTGCCGCTTCCTGGAGGGGAAAATACTACTGCGTTAGATTTGCAGTGCTTTTGAGGGGGAAGCCCTCCCTCCCCAGACGAGGATCGAGAATCGAGAAATGAGGTAGGAGGAGGAGGAGGAGGAGGAGGAGGAGGAGGAGGAGGAGGAGGAGGAGGGGGAGGAGGAGGAGGAGTAGAAGGAGGAGGGGGAGGAGGAGGGAGGTGAGGAGGCTGGAGGAAGAGGAGAAGGAGGAGGAGGAGGAGGAGTTGTTAGGCGTTCTGGGCCTCTCCTGGGCCTCCTCGTCGCCACCGGCCCGATCCGCCCCAAAATGATCTGACCAGCACGAGCGGCCCGATGGCCAGGCATCCAACGTCTGGACAACAATCAGGGCAGATGTTTGATTTTTGTTATTGTAATGTTTGGCCTCCATGGCGACTGAACCCTCACCGTTGTTGTTATTGTGGTACTTTTTTTTATATATAATGATCAAACATCGGGTGTCGTTTTCGGGTTTCGGAGCTGTCAAGAGACGGTTCTGAATGAAACACCAACGCCGGGCCTCCTAGATAGGGTCCTAGCAGACGGGGTCGGAGGATCGCGCCGCATCGCCAATGCATCGGCGATGAAGCGCCGACATCGGCGACGTATCGGGAGGGGCGTGGACCGAATCCAGTTCCGCATCGAGTCGCATCGTCGATGCATCGGCGATGCGGCGCAATTCTCCGATACTACCTACTCGGACCCCATCTAGGAGGCCTACTCAGAAGCACTGCGAGTCGGGACTCCTGGGGACCCCAGGAGGCTGGATTTCATTGTCGTGATCTCTCCACGCCGCGAGGAGGTCAGGGGAGAACCCCGGACGGCCGAGGATTGGGCGTCGCTTACTTAGAAGTCTCCCATATGAGGTCCGAGTAGATGGGGTCGGAGGATCGCGCCGACGTCGCCGATACATCGCCGTTGCATCGGCGATGCGTCGCCAATGCATCGGCGACGTCGGCGATGCATCGGCGACGCCGGCGTGGGGAAACCTGGGTTCCACATCGAGCCGCATCGCCGACGCATCAACGATGCAGCGCGATCCTCCGCCCCCATCTGCTCCGACCCCATCTAGGATGCCTGGTCAAATGGGGGGGAGAAAGGTGCACTTCTCGGGCCCTGCAGGCCCCCTTTGTGGCCACTGAAACTCCCCTTCAGGGACCCTGAAGGGCCCCTTTTCTGCAGCCCTCACTGCCCCCCTCATTTATCCCCCCCCCCATTTACGCGACGCCCAAGGGCCGAAGCCTCCGGGCACCCTTTCCCTCTCCCTGGCCATGGGCCCCAACATGGCTGGACCTAAACGTTGTTTTTCGTGTCGTGTTCGTCATGTTTCTCGGTTTCCTTTACATGTTTCCCTGTAGCTCCCTGCCAAAACGAGAAAAAAAAACCGTTCATGTCAGCCCTGGGCCAGAAAACGAAACAAAATGCAGTCCAGCAGAACAACGCTCAGGTCCAGACATGGGCCACAAGGGAGGCTTCTCGACGCCTCCCCCGTATACAAAAGCTCTGATGGCGGCCTCCTGGAGAAGTCCAGAGGCCTCCCTCCAGAGGCCCCCCCTGCGAGGATACCCCGCCGAAGCTCGGCGGCAAGCCCATGGGGACGGCGTCATGGGGACGGGTCTTCTCAGCAGAAGGTTTCCATGAAGGGGCCCTGGGACACACAAACAAATATATACAGGTCAAGAGTCCCGATATGTTCCCATATTTGTTTGTTGGTCGTCTTCCCCCCACTTCTCATATTCTCGCAGGTTCTCATGGGAATCGACGAGTTCTTCGTGTCTATATGTTCGTTTCCCTCCTGAGTCCAGCCTTCCGCGCAGTGCTTTGGGGGACCTCGCGAGGGCGCGAGTTGGCTGTCAGCGCCCGATGTGCTGCGAAGGCAGCATTCGCTCGTCGGCTCCGTGGCTCGACGGTTATTTAGCGCCGAGGCGATCACGACACGCTCGCGGCTGTTCCACGCTTGCAGAGGAGGAATGGAGGAGGAATGGAGGAGGAGGAGGAGGAGGAGGAGGAGGAGGAGGAGGAGGAGGAGGGGGAGGAGGAGGAGGAGGAGGAGGAGGAGGAGGAGGAGGAGGAGGGAGGAGGAGGAGGAGGAGGAGGAGGAACGCGGCGCCTCGCGCGAGTCTCCCGAGCGGCCGCGGGGGCGGCCGACGAGCGACAGCGCGGCGCCCTCGCGCCGCGATGGCAGAAAGGGCAAGGTTGAAGACAGTGTGGAACAAGACCCACTCACAGAGGAAGAGGGCCAGGGGCGCGTCGACGTAGGCCAACACGCCGCCGACGAAGCAGGCGCAACTGCCGACGAAGACGCCGCGCCATCAGCCGGCCACGGAACAGCAGCGAGTCACGACATGGTCGATC